TTTCTTTTTATATAAATATCGGCCCCTTGCGGAGTACGTATCATAAAGAAAGGGGATGGATAGGTTCCATATTACGGAACGATTATTATCAGCAATATTGTCAAGGACACTATATACCTAAAATACTAAAATTTCATGAAATCCTAATGTGAATATTTTCGAAAGTCTTGAAAAGGGAAAACTGTTGCCTCCCTTTTTTGTGTTTTCTACCGACGTAAATTTTCAAAACGCAAATAAACTCCTATTTTTAGTCCATCTTTCATAATCTGTTGGAACTCCCCTGTAGTTAAAAAAAAGTGTAGCACAGTGTAATTGATGTATGAATACACAAACAGCAACATAATTATTGCATGTCACAAATTATTTTTAAATGCTTCAAATGCATAGAAAATATTCTCGTATGCAGATAATGGATTTAAAAATGAAACACACACACATATGTGTAGAGGCAATAAGTCCACTTTTTCTAGAAATTGAGATTTTGATACATACATTCTGGAGAAGATGTTGAAAAACAATATAACAAATTAATACCCTTCACCACACTATGGTACATGTGCATATGTGTGTAACTGAAACAAGTAGAAAAGTGTCTGTCGCTGTTGCCGACAGATATATACCCCCAGCCTATGGTTGCGGAGGTCTTCGGAATTACACACAAATTTTATTATAAAGTTTTATATAAGAAATATATTTTTATCAATGAGTTTTCGAATTTACTGTTGATAACATTTTATAAAATATTGACCATTTGTGAGGGAGGTACCGGAAGGAGTGGACTACTGCGTCCCATCTTCGGACTTAAACTAGACATTCGTAAAGGTAATTTGTTGTGCATCGTACATTCCATTCGCCTGATATTGGATTTAGAAGGAATGGACCAATGGGTCCCATCTTCCTACTTGATCTAGGTTTGTTAAAAATAATAGGTTGTACAAAGTTTCATTAAAATCGGATAGTCCGTTTGCATGTTATTATTAAAGCAATTTTTAGCACAATTTTGACCATTTTATGGGGGAGGTGCCAGAAAGAGTGGACCGATGGGTCCCATCTTCAAACTAGATCTAGGCTTGATAAAGGTAAAATTTTGTGCATTAGCTTGATATTGGTATTATAAATATTGAAAATTTTGAACCTATGGGGGGGAGGTACCAGAAATAGTGGACCAATGGGTCCCATCTTCAAACTTGCGAAGAGAAGCATATTCATATATTTTAAATAGCCGATTGAAACCATTGAAAGACAGAAAGAGGTAGGGCTGAAATTATTTAAATATTTATTTTTGGGCAGCATCTGAAAGACATCTGATAATTATCTGTAGGGTACCTTAGTAGTAATATGTGAAGAACATTCGATAAATTAATGAGAAAAAAATCATCCATCATTCTAAAACTTCTGTACAATGCATCCTCTTGCCTTCTGTCGTTGTTTTAATTAATTTTATTCATTAATAAAAAATACTTTTTCTTCGATGTCTCCCCATTTGTAAAACATGTCGCACCATTTGTTAGTTAGCATTCTTAACAATATTTTCTGGCCAATGAAAATTAATATTTATCAGCATCAGCCTCGCCTTCATCATCGCCAACCACCGGCTGCCAGCTGTCATTCAAATATGAATGACAGCAGAGCACGTCGACAATGTGACAAATAATACAAATAGTAGCGTGATGCATATCTGAGATGCTTTAACACCCAAAACGAATTCAGCCATACGAAATTATGATTTTTTTCCGAACAATTAATAATTTATTTTGGGAGGAGTATTTTTACTAAATTGATTGATAAAAGTGGATCATGGCAGTTTTTTACAATTTTTTTGGATAATTTGTAATATAAATTAAATAGAAAGAAACAGTTGAGGATTTTATGATTTTTGGAGAAAATCTCCATTAAAATTTAAATAAAATGAAAAAGAAACTATTTACTCGGTCATTAGAATTGAAAACTATATGGAAAAAATATTCCGATATCAAATTTTAATTTTGTCATACGGTATTAATACGAGATTTTATAAATTGCATATTTATTCAAGATCAGTTCTTCAACATATATTTTTCAATCAAATATGCGCGAAAGTCCTTGTCGAATTTTTTAATATGGTAATTTGATTTATCGAATGCTAGCATTAAGTTCTGAATCTATTTAAGAGTATCAAAGTGAAGCAATTTTTTATTTAATGCATAATTTTTTAAAGAAAGAATAAGGAACACGTGAGCAAACCGAGATGTACAGGAGTCAGAGTTAGGTCCGGAAATTTTACCAACGAGTAGAACTCCTGATGACAGATACAAACAACGTGTTAAGGATCTGGAACGAATATTTTGCAAAACCTATGGTATCATGTATTAACGGTGAAGGAGATACCGCAGAACCAATAAGAATAATAAATCAGCAGGCTCCAACGTATTAGTATAATTTGGCTAGAGAAATACATGGCCAATGATTGGAACCTCAGCATCCTGTGTCCCGTGCACACAAAAGGAGAGAAGACGATATGTGCGAACCATAGAGGAATTAGTCCCCTTCCCATCGCATATAAAGTGTTACCCAGCGTGCTGTGTGGACGACTGAAGCCAAAGGTTTATGACATTATTGGACCATACCAATGCTACTTCAGACCTGACAAATTCACCATTGATCAGATTTTCACTCTGTGCCAGATCCTGGAAAAGACCCAGGAAAAACACATCGACACATACCACCTATTCGTCAACTATAAAGCCGCATTCGACAGCCCTCTCCGTTCAGAGGTGTTTAAAGCCATGTCTACGTTCGGCATTCCTGCAAAATTAATACGGCTATGCAGGATAACGTTAGGTGGCACAAGGTCAGTAGTTAAAGTCGGAAAGGGGTCGAACATTGCTAGCGGTAACAGCCACCTTTGAACAAATTGAGAAGGATTCTGCCAAAGTGGGTCTGGCAGTAAACGGCGAGATGACCATGTTGATTGTATCAAAGCACAAGGAACTTGAGAACTACAGCTTCGAGGTAGTCAAAGATTAAAGATCTTATATATCTTGGTACCGCAAAAAAATAGTGTTGGCCAACGGATGCTACTATGGTCTATGTAAGCAATTCAGAAACAAGACCACTTCTTGCCAGACCAAACTCACGCTCTACAAGACACTGATACTACCCGTACTGTTGTGTGGATCTGAAGCATGAGTACTTGCACAAGCAGATGAGGCAGCTCTTGGAATGTTTGGGAAAAGAATCTCCGCCCGATCTGCGTCGACGTTGAATATCGCCGTCGAATGAACCATTAATTGTAGCGAGCTGCAGCTACTTGGCACTGTCATGTTGTGAGAATGGATGAAGATGTCCAGCTGAAAATGCAGAAGTGGAAGGCCGAAGTCGATGGTCCTTTGGAACATGATCTTTCAATTGGATGTATGTTCCAGAAGGAGTGTACCGATCTTCGAATCTGATATAGAGTTAGTAATGACATCGGACATTCCATATGGTATTTGATTGAGAATTTTTAAACTTTTAACTAGGTCAGAAGGACTAGACCGATAGTCTCACCTTCAGACAATTCGGACACTCCATTATATTATTTGTTTTCCAAATGTTGACCCATTGTGAGAGGAATACTATTAGGTGTGGAGATGCAACGACATTCACGGGTTGGACGAAATCGGACGTTCCATATGTCTGCTTCAAAATTGATTTCAAATGTTACGATGTACACAAAATGGATCATCTGTTTGCCTAATATTAAATTTATAAATAAATATAAATGAAAAGTTTGGTCTTTGTGGAGGAGGTCCAGAAAGAATCGATCAATCGGACCCATCTTCGGACTGAGTCTAGGCTTTATAAAGTTGTGTAAAAAATAATTAGGGTCTAAAACCAATATGTTGACAGGAACATTTTTGACGAATCGAGGATTATATACTAAATGAGGCTGAGGGTATAAAAATATCATATTGACCCAGTTTCTTACTGGTAATAGGTCATTGTTTTATTGTAGACCCTATATTAAACCCCAGGTTAAGGGTTTGTTCACATTCCCAATGGTCAAAGTTGTAATTTTTCACTCCCATAGATAGATCTTCATCTATCTAAACCAACCAACCATATTTTAAAGGACCTAGAGTTATTTCCAGTGAATAAAGTGATTTGTAGTTTGAAATTTCAGGCTCTCCGATAATAACAACACAGTACCACTACTTCGTATAAACCTCAGCACAGTTTTACAACCAATAGGTTCGCAATTTTCCGTTCTCGGTTACCAGCGGATAAATGCATATTTTGGCATAATCGTAATATAAAGCATCGACACTCGTAATTTATTAAAGATCGATTACAGTTTTATTATAGACAAAATTCTTTAGGAAAATTCAATCCTCGAAATTCCGAAGCTAAGAATAAAGGAAATCCACCCAATTTTACTCACCGTTGGATCCAAGCACCTCTCGCAGCAGCACTCAAAATGTTTGGTCATTTTCAAGAACATTTTCCGTGTCATTGTACTCCACAACAATTTCGTATAAGACGTTACAATTTCCTCACCCTGTTTTAACGGACGTACCGCTGTAATAACAATCGTCTCCGGATTTTCAAAATGATGTTCGGCATTTGGACGGCATTGATGATTCAACATGGCAGCCAATGGAAATAAGGCTCGGACGCGACCCTCATTCCCATCACCCTTTTGACTGCCACCATCAAAGGCATTTGTATTGAAGACACAAATACTGTGATAGAAATATTCCAACATTTCACGATCTTTGGGGAAGTGTTCAAAGCAGGCGGCGGCCTTTTGTAACTCCAGCATATAATATTTATCGGAATGAGGTTGCAGGGAGAGGAATAGTTTACGCTGTAGATCATTCAAAAAGAAACAACGAACAATTGATACCAAACGCAGAATATGGGAGTTTATTTTTGTTATATCCTTGGGTTTCCATCGCCGAAATAATTCACATTCGGTGGCATGGCAATTTCCCTGGGAACACTCAGAGCATATGGGTAGGCCACAACCATTTTTACACATAACTTGGGAATCATTTTCGACTTCTAATTGATGATAACACACAACACAGGATGTCTTGGAGTTGGACGTATCCAATGTACCTCTGGGTCCCACAACCAGGGCGCGATCTTTTAAAATAACTTCACCCGGAGCTATATCTCGACTAGCAAAAATACCACGTCCCGAAATAGGAGAATCGAGCACCTTCCACGAGGGTTGTTCTTTTAGATATTCCGAACCTAAATGCGCGTTTATGAGGTTAGCCAAATCCACAGTGGTAATATTTGATTTTAGAGACATTTTCAGAATTTTGTTTCAAATATTTTTTTAATTAATTAATAATTTTTTGGTCACACTAACGAAAAAAATGTTCTCCTTCGATTATTTTCCAATTTTTTTAATTTCCACGCCCGCCGGAATTCAAATACCAACTGAATTATAATATGATGTGTTTCATTCGATAAACATCTTTCACACATCACCGATGCTAATCAGTGTGAAAATATAGACAAAAATTGTATTTTTCAGTTTTGGTTTGTTGTTTTTTCTTGTTCTAAATAAAATCAAATACAATTTTGATCGGCCCCCTTCATCCCCAAAGCAATAAAAAATTAAGAAACAAAAATCAGAGTCTCACACACACAGCGCCTCTTAATGGAACAACAAACATGTCTATGGAGGCAATAGTCCGAATACTAACCACCCACACATAGATTTTCCGAAAAACAACAAAAATACAATTTTTTTATTAACAACAATAATGTTTGTGTGTTTTGGGTTGCCGGTTCATGCATTTTAGGTTTGATTTCAACTGCAAAATGTGAAAACTCGATGCGGGCCAAAAACAAAAAAAAAACCGAAAATATTGAAATGTGAATGCTGTTTAACCCATAAATTGCCGGTGGAGTAAGATTATTGTTCGGCCGACCCGAACTAATAAGTTCCACTATGTTATGTGCATTCAAATTTCCTTAAATTGGAAGAGAACTTCGAAACCTCAAATTGGAAGAGAACTTGATATGATGTGCGTGTCACTGAAAATTGTCTGCAAAAGCAACACTTGGGTACCAAAGACCACCATCAAGAAATCCGTGGTACAATCAGGAGTGTCGTAATGCTACTGATGTGAAAAACACAGCGTATAGGGCAACCCTGCGGACAGTAGCAACACACAATGCGATGGAGAACTATCGGGAAAGTGGAGAAACGAAACCTGGTGACAGATACAGACAGCGTACTGAGGATCTGAAAGCAGCATTTTGAAAAACTTCTGGTATCAAATAGTAGCGGTGAAGAGGATACCGCACCACCAATAATATATGACGGTGTAGATTGTATACCACCTAGCCAAGATGAGGTCAGAATAGCAATTAGTCGGCTGAAGAATAATAAAGCAGCAGGTGCCGATCGATTACAAGCCGAAGTGTTCAAGACTGGTCGTCAGATGCTGGTAAAAAAGAACAAGAAAAACGTGAGCGTGAGCTAATCGAGATGTACAGGAGTAAGAATAAAACCCGAAAATGTTACCAACGGGTAAAACACCAAACCGAAGGCTTTGGTGCAGGCACATCCACATGTAGAGATGAAGAAGGAAACCTGGTGACAGATACAGACAGCGTACTGAGGATCTGGAAGGAGAATTTTGAAAAAAAAAAATAATATATGACGGTGTAGATTGTATACCACCTAGCCAATATGAAGTCAGAATAGCAATCAATCGGCTGAAAAATTATAAAGCAGCAGGTGCCGCTGGGTTACAAGCCGAATTATTCATGACTGGTGGTCAGATGCTGGTAAGGAGCATGCACCAGCTGATTAGTACAATTTGGCTAGAAGAATGCATGCTCAATGATTGGAACCTCAGCATCCAGTGTACCGTGCACAAAAAAAGGAGACAAGACGATATGTGGGAACTATAGAGGAATAAGTATCCTTCCCAACGCATATAAAGTGCTATCCAGCGTACTGTGTGAACGACTGTAGCCAATGGTCAATGACATTATTGGACCATATCAATGCGGCTTCAAACCTGGCAAATCCATCATTGACCAGATTTTCACTCTGCGCCAAATTCTGGAAGAAACCCACGAAAAACACATCGACACATTCCATCTATTCGTCGACTATAAAGCCGCATTCGACAGCCTTATCCGTTCAGAGGTATATAAAGCCATGTCTGCATTTGACATTCCTGCAAAATTAATACGGCTATGCAGGATAACTTTAACTGGTACAAGATCAGCAGTTAAAGTCGGAAAGGACCTCTCGGAGTTCTTTAATGCCGAACGAGGATGCAGGCAGGGTGACAGTTTGTCGTGTGACCTTTTTAACATCCTGCTGGAAAAGGTCATACGAGACGCAAAGGTGAACAGAAATGACACTCTTTACACCAAAAAACACCAGTTACTCGCCTAAGCCGATGACATCGACATAATGGGTTGAACGCTGAGAGCGGTAACAGCCACCTTTGAACAAATTTAGGAGGTGTCTGCCAAAGTGGCTCTGACAGTAAACGGCGAGAAGACCAAGCTGATGGTATCAACGCGCAAGACGTCAAGTAGACTCGGACCAACTGTCGAACTTGAGAATTACTGCTTCGAGGTAGTACCGCCATAAACAAAACGAATGACATCAGTTTTGAAATTCGGATATGGATAGTGACAGATGCTACTATGGTCTGAGCAAACAACTCAAAAGCAAGGCCACCTCCCGCCAGACCAAACTCACACTCTACAAGACGCTGATACTACACGTGCTGTTATATGGATCTGAAGCATGGGTAGTTGCGCAAGCAAATGAGGGAGCTCTTGGAGTGTTTGAGAAAAAAAATTCTCTGAAAGATCTATGGGCCGATCTGCATTGACGTTGAATATCGGCGTCGAATGAACCATGAGCTGTATCAGCTATTCTCGGACATCGGCATTGTTAGACGTATTGAGCTGCAGCGACGACGTTGGCTAGGTCATGTTGTGAGAATGGATGAAGATGCCCCAGCCCAGAAAGCATATAAAAGCGAACCAGCTGATGGTTCACCCAGAAGGGGAAGGCCACAAATAAGATGGAAAGACCAAGTGGAAGACAACATTGCCGAATATTGTCTTTCAAATTGGAAAAACTGCGAAAAGACCGACGCGCCTGGAAATCTTGTTTAATCTCGGCCTATGGAACGAAAGTTCTGTCACAAGCCATCGAAGTAAGTAAGTAATGGTTTTTGATCGTCGAAAACTCAGTGCTAGGAACTTTAAGATAGTGGCAATTATGGGGCTATTAAAAGGCTAGTACCCAGTTGAAAAATTTTTGGGAATAAATTTTTCTGATCATTTCGATCATCACAGAGGTGCTATGACACACAATTTGTCTCTTTCGAAAATCTTCTTCAAAAATGTTTTCCGACCAACAAATTACTGTCACTTCGGTTACAGATTCAAGAAAATACTTAAATTAAAGACTACTTCGAAATATTGACCCACCTTAAACGTTTTCAGAAAATCACCCTTCCCGCAAAAGTTCATGAAATGATATGATCCTCTAAGCAATCAGCAACAGTGCGATTGCTTTCATTATTAATTCTTATTGGAAACCTATGAATTCTGCTCGGTACATATCATAAACCTCTTACAACGATCTCGTAAATAAATAAATAAGATCCAGTATAGTATAGTAGTATAGTCGGAAGGGAACGATTATATGATACTCTACACAACTATAACGAACTTCTAACTTTCTGCGGTTCTATATTCTGAACTTGGCAATATTTCGTGATATTTGCACCCTCTTGACCGATTATAGCTCTACTTTCTAACCCTGCCATTTTTTTCCAAATCTTGTGTTCCCAAGATGAATATTTTCTCCAAAAAAAATATATATAAATGTGGTCATTTTAAGGTTTGGTTGATTTGGCCCTCGGAATATTGACCGAACTCCAAATCCGAGGACATACGCCAATATAAACTCATTTAAAGCTTATAAACTCATCATGGATATACTCTCAACATCTCCGTTCTCTGTCCTTCAGAAGTAACTAAATACGCCTCTAAATAAAAATTTTGTAATTTTTCACACAAAAGTATATGTCCATTATACCTCCCACTAAATAATATTGACCGATCTTCATGAAAACCGTCATGAATTAAAATACATTCTTTTCGTTTTGTGCTCATTTTACGAATGAATTTATGGCGATAAATTCCTTACCAAACGAGCATTCGCCAAAGAATGTTCGCACACACACATAACAAACGAGTGAGAGCACACAACAACGATCGTTCGTTTCGTTTGGTGGTTGAAATTCTTTCTGACATTCTCTCACGAATGAAAACGAACATTCCCGAATTCTCACGAATGCTCAAAACAGCATCAACAATAACAACAAACGTTCGTGAACTCAATATTTGTTGGACATGTGTTTTGTTATTCCACACACTTTCTGCTACACACACATTCTTTCGGTGTGAGCGTGTGTTTACCTTTTTTATGATATTTTGATACAATGCGAACATTCGCGAGAGATTGCAAATGCTTGTTCATTCATTGTAACTTTATCATTCGCGATAAATTGAAAACATTCGAATTCTCGCGCGTGAACATTCGTTAGAAAGAGTGTATTTTAATCATTCTTCGCACCCTGATAAAATTTCGTGGTGTTCGGATCATAATTGTGGCCTCTATATTGACTCATCTAGTCGAGTATGAGGTATCGGTATACTTAAAACTGGGTCTAGACCAATTTTTCGCGACGTTACAAACTCTTGGGGCTGCACAGTTGTGTAGGGTATATTAACACTTGTTTACACAAAATATTATTTATATAGACATTTCGAATCGAACATTATGTTGAATAGACATTAATGTGCATCTCATGGATTTGAAATTTTGGTTTGAGAATTTGTTGAGAATCTGTGAAAACCCATTGGGTGTAAATGTAAAGTTCAAATAAAAAATATTCACCACTTTTCTTGCCTCCTAAATATATGCACTCTTTGTTGCCCACAGTATATACGCAAAGCTTTTTAAATCCGTCGAAAG